GCCTGATAAGGTAAACAGGCTGAAGTTTACTTTATCCTCTGATCCTGTGCAGGAGCTAAGCTCAGATCAAAGAGCCCCTTTATACAACCCCTTGCAGTTTTGTCTAGAAGCTGTTTTTGTGGTTGTTTGTTTGTTTTATTTTATTTTATTTTTTTAAATCCAGACAGAGGGGGAAAAAGTTGGCCAATTTAAATTTTCCTCCTTAGCAGCAGTGTAGCCAGTCCTTAGTCCTAGAGAAGGAATCTTGGGCTCCCTTCCTTCTTTCTTCTTTCTGTCATCCTTTGTGACCCATTGCCTGAGCCATCAGCTTGATGACTCAAGAGATAAGGCAAATGAGGGATTCCACATCTTGTCTCAGCTTCTACCCTGAAACATGGAATCTTGCCAAAGCAGAAAGAGACATGGGAAATGGACTTCGGCAAGCAGACTTTAACATGTTTAATTTAAGCCTTGCCTAACTGACAGAAAATACTGGCATATATACTCTTTATTGTTTGCTACAAATGTTAGCTATTTGAAACGCACCTTATATGTAGGGTGAATTTGATACTTCCTGTTTATCAGTAACAGATAGAAACAAAGCTAGTGACAATCTCTGTAGGACTATAGTGTCTTCAAAAAAAATCACTGCTTTACATAGGCTCAGCAGTTCTATTTCACAATGACAAAATTGCTTAGTTTTTCATTATCTTTTTTGAGGGGTTAAAGGTTATCAGTTGATTATGAAAGGAAATCTGGCCTCTGGACACTTGAAAACTTCATTACCTGTTTGATACCACAGTTCTAATCATGTATACAGAGAAATTCAATGACCACAGCCAACTCCCAGCTGGAACTCTTGCGTTAGACTGAAAGGCCATGAAGAGTTTCAGAAGAGACACACTGCCCAGCACCCCTCTGGCCGGTAGAATTCAAAGCTGATTGACCTGATTCTAGACACAGGCAATTGTAGAGAATGACTTATAAAGCTGTATAACGTTGGCATGTGCCCATATATAGTGGAAAATCTTTGGGGAAAGGTATTTCCTAATGGAAAAGCACGTGTGGTTTCTGACACAGATACTTTAAACCAAGGAAGAGAATCATAATTTATTATAACAAATTGTCTAGGCCTGCCACATCTTACACATGCTGAGCTACCACACATGGTCGAAAGTTTAGCGCCATTCCAAAACAGATATAGACAGATGCAGTGATCTGCCTCTCTCTGTGTCATGAACAGATCCACTCGTATATCAATTCTTCTGTAGAGAAGTCTGTTTTTGACATGAAAGTAACTGCTTTCTCATCATTGTGTGACTCTGATGGAAAGATGGCTCAGTGGTTGAGAGAATTATTGCTCTGAACATGGACTTGAGATTGTTACAGAAACCCATGTCAAGTGGCTCACAACTGTCAATAATTTTGCTTTAGGGAAATCTGATGCCTCTGACCTCTGAGAGCCCCTGCACATACTTCAATCCCCACAATACATACACATGATTAAAAAACCAAATCTTTAAAAAAGGTTACGGTGCTGAATGCCAAATCCACTCTCCACAGGTATCTATTTTTCTATTTCTCCAGGTGTTTTCTTGCAAGAGTATTTGAAACAGCATCAGTAGCTCAAAGTGGAAATGGTACTTACTCCTCTGAGATATTGTCAGTTCTTCTTAGGAACACTGTCATTTTGTATTACCACAGGGGCAGATAATAGTAATTCTATAAAAGAGTTGTCACACTATGCCATTTCTCTGCATTTAGTTGGGAAAGGACTATCTTTTTTCCCTACTTAAAAAAAAATTAAATTTATTACAATTTATACACTTTGTATCCCAGCTGTAGCCCCCTCCCTCATCCTCTCCCAATCTGGCCCTCCCTCCCTCTTCTCTTTCTATGCCCCTTCCCTAGTCTACTGATATGAGAGGTCATCCTCCCCTTCCATCTGACCCTACCTATCAGGTCTCATCAGGACCTCCTGCACTGGAATGATTATTTTTTAACTCATGCCTTTGGTATTTCTTTATGTTTCTCCAAGTTTTCAATAGTATCCCTTTCTTCTCCTTCTCCCCTTAAGTTCAGGTTCAGGATAATGAGACATCATGAGTGCTCTCAATCAAGGGATGTCTGGGCTTGCAAGTTACATCCTTCTCCAGATCATTTGTTCTTTTGCTGGCATTCACCAAACATGGATTTCTATATGACATTATTAGAGTGGATTTACAGGTTGTGCTCCATCTAATCCAACAATGGCTACCTAACATTGGAACATCCAAGAATGCAGTTGGATGTCTCAGCTGGTCTTCAGTATACACTGGAACCTCAGAGAAACAGGTTCTAATGGTGGTGAAGAAATGTACTTGCCAGTGAGAGTGAGAGCAAGGAGGCAAAGAGAAGAAACTTCCATCTTCCACGTCCTTTATCTAGTCTGCCAGCAGAAGGTGCGGGTTAAATATAAGGTTAAATATTCCCACCTTGTAAAAGCCAAATGAGAAGTTGGTGTTCACATTTAAAACGATTTAATTAATAAAGAAAATCCCTCACCAGTGTACCCCCCTGCTTGGGTTTTAGTTAATTCCAGATGCCGTCAAGTTGACAACCAAGAATAGCCATCACAGATGTTCAGCATCCTCTTCATACAGTCGTTTTAAGAAAGAGAAACAGAAAGATAGCACGAAACTCAGCTTAGACTACCTTGTATCTCTGATATGGTAAGTCAATGAAAACTTCTGAACATTCTCCGTGACACTTCTGAGAACTCATCCCATAGACCCCCTTCACCCTCCCAGACCACTTAGAAGCTGACTCAAAAGCCAGAGAACTGGTATCTGGCAAACTCCACCCACTTTCTGGAAATTTTCTACTGTTAGTATTTCTGGGTCTGAACGGGAAGAAAAGCTCCAGCAGCAGCGAGCCCTCACTTGCTTTAGACTGTGAAAACCAGGTGTTGAAAACACGATCACCCAGAATATCAGAGAAACATGGTGTAGATATTGTTCCCAGAGAGGGGGCAAGGAAAGGAATCTGAGCCCGGAAACTCCATTTATTGCCCAACACTTCCTAGGCTTCATTGGTCCTGGAGTTAAAGGTCTCCCAATAGCCTCACTATCTATCTGCAAAAAGAGAAGACTTGGAGGAAGGCTTCACTCAATAAGGCAGTCCAGGACTCACATATTCCCTTTAACCTGCCTTGATAACCAAAGATTACCCAAACCATAGAAAAGTCTGCCATTGCTAATCGTGTCTCTGCACTGGAGGTAGGCTAGCTTGGAACTACAAAACTCCAAGAAAAGCTAATGTTAGCATATCAATTTAGAAATATTAAAAAAAGTAGATGATATCCATGCTGTTTTGGGATATCCACCAGAGAAGATTATATGAACTTGGGTTTAAGCCAATAGAAGGTCTTTATTAGTTGCTTAGCAACTACACTGGGTGTTTGGGATCTCAAATGCAGGCCCTACCCTTTCTCAGGATATGTTTTTGAGCACAAAACCCACATCCTGTTTTGACATACTTCAGTTAACAAAAACTCTTACCCAGAAGTGAAACTACAGAAGCAAAAACACCAAGGTTATTACATTTAGGGACTTTCCTAGCACTATAGACTTTGGTGACTTAGACCTTTGTTTTCATCATGGCGGGTGATGCTGTGTGCTGAGTTTCATGGCCAGAATGGTACTTCTATCATGACATCAGTTGTTCTAAGGTCTGGGGGCCTGTTACAGTGTTAGACTATATATGAAGATAGAGGGCTTTAGAGACTCGGTGAAACTTGCTCTTAACAGCTTTTTGTGTGTGTGTGTGTGTGTGTGTGTGTGTGTGTGTGTGTGTGTGAAATGGCTGATTGCAGGCATAAATTCCAGTATCTAAGGCTTCGAGGGGATTGCAAGTACACACACTGACTTTTGCAGCTGTCTCTACTCATTTTGGCAGGGCTTGGGGTGCTTTTCTACTAGCACCCAATTTTTGCTAAGTGTGTGCACTTCTGTGCCTTGGGTACCAGGTACCCTTTACTGTGGTATCTGTATGACCTCTGAGGTCTTTGCTCGCTTAGTCTGTGGGGGTGAACTGTGCAGTTCGGAGACACATCATGACTGAATTTCCCACCTTCCACTGCAGTGCATTTTGTCATTTCTCTCAGTATCCACCACTTCCTTTGTGGTGGCCCGAGGTGCAGAGTGGCATAGCAGGCTCTCCTCCAGGCAGGCTTGTCTTCTGTTCAGGTTTTGTTTTGTGGTGCTTGCTCACGCAGACCCTTACTTTTCTCTAGAGCTGAACCCTAGAACAAGAGAGGAGTTGGGAGGGTCTCCCTTCCCTAGCAACTTTCTTCAGGCTCCTGAGCTGACATCTGTTATTTTGTTGTTAATCTAAGCAGTGGTTTCTAGAAAGGTTAGATTCACTCCTGTGTGGGAGGGACACCCATGAGGGGAGGATTTACACAGCTACGTTGTAGGGGCTTTAGACAAAACCTGAGGTCATTTCTACTGAGATTGATTAATTTTCTGAACTTCTGTCCTCGGCTGAATAAATTAGGATGTGTCACATGCTATATAGATGATTGTGTGGTGTTCACATGATTTTTATCCAGCTAGAGTCGGGCAAGTTTGAAGCTCCCTGATCTGACCTTGGCTCCTCTGTTGGCCGTTAGCCTGGGTTGTACTGCCTCGTATCAAGGTTTCAGTCGTTGCTGGCCTCAGATTTTGGCCCTGGATGCCAGCTGTCCATGGAACTATGTATGCTCCTTTTGCTTTTAGGTTACATGACCAGTTTGCAGTTTTAGCATGGGCCCTTTCCCCCCTCAGTATCTATGGGGGTTCACTCTTCTCACTGTTACCAAGTCGTAGCTATGGTTTTCCTCACTTACCACACAGTTAGCTTCTTGTCTGTGGGGTGGGCTTGAGGTGATCTTCCTGAAGTAAATGGAGTTTTTTTTTTTTTTTGAGATTGTTCTTATTCACAATTTTGTTTGTTACAATTAGCTGCATTAGAAGACAGATTTGAACACATTTTAATAGAAATACCTTAATAAATAAAAAATGTTTATTAAATAAAGAAGACAGAATTGGTGAATGGGTAACATTGCCTTGTCAATGTTTCTCAGCTTGTGTGACTTCATGGGAGCCAGTCAGAGCCTAACAATTTGATCCTAAAGCTTTGCCTTTTAAAAAGTCTGGTCACCTTGGCCAACTCATGCCCAGCTGCAAGCCCTTTTATTTTCCTTCCTAAGTATTCCAGACCATACCTTTTGACTCCAAAACTCCTGTTTTCACCATTAATGTTTTTCTTTCCCTCATCTATTTATCTATCTATCTATCTATCTATCTATCTATCTATCTATCTATTGGATCTTGAGATCTGAACTCAGGTCTTCATACATGCAGAGCTAATGCTTTACCCATTAACCTCCTCAACCCTACAGCATTTAAAAAAATATCTACTTCATTGACAAAGTTCTCATTATTCATACAATGAATTGTGCTTTAATGTAATAGTGCTATATATTCTCTTTATTCTCAGTCAATTTCCTTAGAATTACTCTTTTCAATTCTTTTTCTGGCATTTTCTCAACTTCCCTTTCAGTGTTCTTTGATAGAAGATTTTGTGCTTCTTCAATGGCATCATTTTGCCTTGCTTTTCCATACTTCTTGATGCTCCTTGATACATTTGGTATGTCAGTGTCTTATCCATTGGGTAGGAGAATTAAACAGGAGAAGATTTTCTCCTGAAGATACTAGGTATTATTTTTAGAGATGGCATTGCCTTTGTTTCCATTTGGATACCACTGGTGTCTGTACAACTATAACTTCTGATTCTGAGGACTTGATGAATGTGGTAACAAAGTCAGAGGTCATACAGACTGCTGACACTCTAGTAGCCAAAGAGGAACATACAACTTGTGGTACAGAGATTGTACTAGTCAAGTAGACTTTGAGGGTGTACTACACATTGAAGTTGGGGTGATTAGATTTGGTCAAATTTGTAGGTGTGGTTAGATTTGGTCTTAAAATGGCACCATGCAGCAATAAGTTACATAGGAGAGGGGGCTACGTAAGCAGAGGTGCCCATGCGGACCCGTGCAGTGGTATGTGTTCCATTACAACTCCTTATGGAGCTCAAAACCACTGATGGGTGCAGTATTGCCTTACAGAAAAAAAAGTCATGACTCTATGGTGGGGATATGGACAATTTAGGCTCTACTATTTACAGTGTCTGAGTTGTAAGAGGACTTTACACATTCAAACAAGCTCAGACGTGGAATCAAGAGCACTCACTATGCAAGATGCTTCGTTCCCTTTTCTACCTGACCATCTTGAGTCTCCTTTTCCATATTTCTCTTTCATATGCACTGTGCTCCAGTGTTCTCCAAATATTCTCAGCAAACATTATCTGCTTGTTCTTTGGTTTTATTCCTTAAGTAGAACAGGAGGTGTCTGATGACTCTCATTAGCTATCTCTATGGCAAGTCTGTATCTCAGTTTATGGTATTAAAATACTTTGGATAATTTGGGGTTGGGGAGTAGCACAGCTTCTAATAAGAAACAACTGAACCACCAGCATAATTTGCAGAATCTGTTATGGACTGATTGTTTTTCCCTCCTATCATTATATGTTAGTTACCCAAACCTCCAGTGGGATTGTGTTAGAAGGAAAGCCTTTGGGAAGCATCTATGGTTAGACTAACTCATGAAAGCAGAGCCCAAATGATAAGGTAGGAAGAAGAGACAAGGGAATCTTCCTTTGCGCTAATATACCATGGAAGACCCCATGAGGATATCACCAGGAAGAATGCCTTCATTGAGGATATGGCCACACTGGCACCTGGATCTCAGACATCAGTCACTAGAAGCATGAGAGCAAAATTCTATTGTTTAACAAATCACATATGTGAAATCTATGGACCATATAATAGAAGCATAGTCCTGGCCCATAAGATTATAACAGCCCAAAATGTTTAAGAAACTATTCCCTACCATGAATAATTTCCCCCTTTCCTCTATGCTTCTCTTCCAGTCTTACTAAGACATGTGCTTTTTATTTGAATTTTATTTCAAGGAAGATACAATATAGGCCATGGAATGGGCAATGAAATAACCAGCAAATAGCAGTAATGTTAAGTACAGTCACTGTGAAGTTATTATGGGTTCTTGGAAATGTCAAGTAACAACAAAAATCTTTTTTTTTTTTTTTCCTCAGGAAGACTTTATTAAATGGATTTTGGTATTGATATAGAGTAAATCAGTCATTTACTATGAAAACATTCAAAACAGCTGTCATTACAAGTTAGAGAAATTTCATCATATCCACTGTCCCTGGCATAATTAGAGAGCTTCTTCAGTATTTTTTTTTAAAGGATTCTGACTAAATAGTATTTTAAAGGAATTTTTTAGTCATTATTATTGTGATATCTAGGTTATTGTTTCTCTTTCCTACTTTTTACTTAAACATATATTTAAATTTTTCTTTACTTACTTTTATTGTACGTATATTTGCCTTGCATGCATGTCTGTTCATCTCATGTGTGCCTGGTGCCTGTGGCAGTGAGAAGAGGGTATCAGCTCCTCAGATCTCCTGGAACAGGAGTGACAGATGACCGTGAGATAAGGTGTGGGTTTTGGGAGTTGAACCCGGATCCTCTGCAAGAGTATCCATTGTTCTTAACCAACCTCTGAGCCATCTCTCCAGCCACCTCCTTCACCCCTTTTAACCTTTCTCTGGAATGCTAAGGACTGAACTTGAGGTTTCATGCATGCGAAGCAAGTATTATACTACTGAGCTACCGCCCCAAACCTTCCTTCTTTTTTAATGAAAAAAAGCTTTTCGTGTGTGTGCATTTGCGTGTGTGACTGCAGGCATGAACATGGCATGGTGTGTATTCAGGAATCAGACGACAATCTTGCATTTCGGCTTTTACGGTCCTCTTGCTTGTGTCAGCGTCTCTTATTCACTGCTGCACGTGGCAGGGTAGCTGGAGCCATGATCTTATAAGATTCTCCTGTTTCTGCCTCCCATCCACCATAGGAGTGCATGGATTACAGATGTTTAGTTGGCTTTGTGTGGGCTCTGGGAAACTGAACGCAGGTCTTCAGCCTTGCAAGGCAAGTGCTTCATCTACTGACCCATCTCTCCCATCCAGTTAGGGTTTCTCCTTTGATATAAATCTCTATGCAGAGAGCCCACAGCATCCCATTCAAGGTTATATAGGCCATTACTATCAAGAAGTCACAGCAGCAGCCTGAGGCAGCGAGTGCCACTCCATTCACAGTTAAAAAGAGTAGAGGGCTGAGGATGAGTGCAGGCATGCTGCTGCTTAGCTCCTCTGTGTGCATACACAGTTAAAGATCGCCAGCTAGGGGATGGTGCCACATAAGCAAGATAAATTCCCAAGTGCAAGCAAGGGGCTTAACTTCCATGTGATTCTAGAGGCTGTCAAGTTGACAGCACTAACCATCACAATGTCAAACCTAAAAAAATGATGCTGATTTTACATTAAATTCAAATAAAAGTAAATTTACTTGATCTGAGGGTTTATTCAAAGTGAATAGGTAGTTTTTAATTCTCAGCTTATTTACACATTTCTGATCCTTTTGCTACAGCTAACGTGAAAATATCATCACTAAACATGGATAAAGCCTGAATAGCCTGAATAAACCCAGTATATTGTTTTGTAATATCAGACTCTCTTATTCTGTCATTGGTTCTGATTTTTGACAGCCACAGACTTCAGCCTAATTAGAATCCAAGTTGTTTCTTGAACATATCTCTTTGAGAAGAGTATTCGCATCCTCAGTCACCATGTCAAGGAAACAAAATTTCAGGCAAAATAATTCTTTAAGATAAAAATTCTTAGTAACTAAATGGCCATTAGCCCGACAGTACTCCTGAAAATATCTTGAGAGCCTTTCATTCATTGTTTCTTCATTTGTAGTTCTGAACACATGAGGAGATTTCATCATTGCCTCGAGCTGATCCACCGGTATTTCCCAGGCCTCAGCCAAACTCTGCAAGGATGCATCATCCACTCCAAACACAGTTCGATAGTGCTTCATGCTTTTCTTAAGACTCTGCACATCACTTTCCAATAAGAACATCAGTGAAGGGATGATACTCAGCAGGTCATTTGCAAAGGCTTCGAGCCAAATCCTTTGCTTCAGCGACTGCCGCTTCTTTTCAATGGCTGAATCTTTAATATTGGGCAAGGAGAGCATAAAACAGTGTCGCTTGTGTACAGGCAGGTCGTTTACCAGCCTGTCCATCAGGATTGGGAAATCATAGTCATGTATATTTCTGTTGGAGATCAAGTAGATTGGTGGTTCATTAATATTACTCTCCTTAAAGTTCCTCTCACAGTTGCTGCGGATCTGCTGCAGGACTTTTTCTCGGTCAAATGTTCGTGGCTTGCATTCCTCTTCATTTCTTAAGTCAGAGTCCACCTTAGTTCTCACGAAATAGTAATCCTTCTTCAACATGCTGACAGCTTTGGCGAGTTCTATATCGTTGTTCTTAAAGCGGGTGGCACAAATAATAATGAAGAAGTCATACTCATTGAATTTCATTTTCTCCAGATAATCTTTTGGTGGGAAATTTGTTGTTCCAATCCCAGGCAAGTCCCAAAAAACCACATTGGGAATATTGGGGTGTTTGTATGGATATCTCTTCATGGTCATTTCCACCACTCCAATCTGAGCTGCACCTTCTTCTTCATGCCCAATTCCTCTCATAGTATTGATGAAGCTAGACTTCCCAGATCCAGACTCCCCGGTCACAGCAACATTGAGTGAGGTACTATCGATTTCTCTTAATGCATTGCTGATTGCAGCGTTTGCCTCCTGGATGTTTCCATTTTTTAGGCTTAATTCAACTGAAGCGATAGTTTCCTGAGGAATGATACCATTTCCTGTCTTAAACTTCTTGAAGTATGCAGCAAAGCTGGAGGCCAAATCTTGGTGTTCAGGCTTTTGTGAAGCAAACAGCTGACCCATGACTGAGCACAAATAATGGCACTGGAAGAAAGAAGGGCGAGTATGAAGTTTAAACTCTATATGTTCGTCAATTTCAAGTACATTGCAACACATCATCCTCAATGGTTGTAATTATGGATAAAAACTCCCACTGGATTTCTTTTACACAGTTGGGACTTTGTGTCCTTTGGCTAACATCATCCACTTTCTCTCTTCTCACAGCCTTGCCAACCCCCACCCCACTTTCTACTTCTATGAGTTTGACTCCTGTAGATTTCACCTGTAAGTGACAGAGGGTTTTTTTTTTTCTTTCTGCAGGTAGCTGAGACCACCACACGAGATTTTAATGGTTTATTCTCCACTGTCTCTTCACTGATCCATCTTACCTTTCAGCCTACTCTGTACCTCTTTGCTATGCAGACCACATCAGCAGAGGTGTTTCTCCTTCTAGCTTTCAGTATAATTAGGCTGTCATAAGCTCTCAGTTGTTCTGCTTGGACTGCATGTCTGATCATAACTGCATCCATATTTTTTTTTAAATAATCTATGCTATTTGGCCTTTGTGAACTGTCAGTTCTCATGGTATTTTAAAGGAACATATTTTCTTACTCTTTCTTATTCCTTCTGCTTGGACCTGGTAACAGCCCCTCATACTTTCTGGTCTATGTTTGTCACACAGTCCCTTATTTATCTGTTCTACCTGTTCAACATTCTAGAATTGCTCCTTTACTGAAGTCTCTTCATTTGAACATTTATTGATGAAGCCTGCCTGATCTGTAATAGATAACAACCTTCCAATATAGAGTTGGATTGAAGGCCAATGTCCAAGCCTCCCTCTGAAGTATAATGGGACAAAACTTTGCAAAGTGTATCGCATATTTATATGAGGTGTAGTGTCTGCCAGTCTAGTCACTAGTGCCACAAAGGTATGTCCAGTTTCCTTTGAAGTCACCTAGCCTCCCTGAATAATTGAATCAATAGCTAAGCCAGGTAAAGTACTGTAAGGCACATCACCCATCCCAGCGTATGTCTGGTTCACAGATGGCATAGGCAGGGTATCTGCAGTATTAAAAACTAACACAGAATATATATATGCAGGAGACAGGAGAAAGAGTAGTCAAGGCTGAGTTAATATAGATGATAGTAGATGATAGTAACTCCTGAAACTTGGATTTGACAATCTGTATTGAAACTCAGGCTGTATCCAGAGGCTTGACTTTAATGCTATCTCAGTGGAAAAGAGAGAATTGGCAGATACTTGGTCAACTACTATGGGGGCAACAGATGCGGAAGGACACGTATAGCTGAGTTCTAAAGCAATCAGAACCTAGGTTAGTTTTTCTGTGTGGCATTCCATAGACCACTGAGTCATGGAAATGAGGAAGGAGATGCTATGAGCAAAGTGTGCACTATCTACCCTCACGTGACACTATACACTATTCCTTGGGTTCATATGAAATCTGGACACAAGAAGCTAACATGAGATAGAAAATAGGTAAAGCCACTGGAATTCCTATGAAATACTTGGGTGTCCTGAATAGGTAAAGCCACTGGAATTCCTATGAAATACTTGGGTGTCCTGAATACTGGGCAGTCATGTGAGGCCAGCCTTCATGTATGGATGCTAAGACAGGAAAAGAACAGGTGTCAGTCTGTTATTGACTAAGCAAGGCCCGTGCCTTCATGGACAGATGGCTACATTCAGCCCCTTCAAGCTCTCCTTTCCTGTATCAGCTAAAATGTTATTGTGAAAGCTGAGGATTCCCAGGAGCATTTCTGTTTATCACTTTAAAATGAGCATGCTCAGGGATTGGAATCCCCAAATGAGCACGCCTAAAAGTTGACCCACCTCTATAAGAATATACATGGCTCCTTATGCTTTCTTTATTGGGGAGCGAGTTAGAGCATCGCTTTGGAAATGACACCCCATGCCAGCTTTGCCTGATTCAGGTTTAAGTATTTCTCCACCGTGTCATATTCGGCTTTGTGCTCACTAAAATGTGAACTCAGTGATTCAGGTTACATATTGGTGTTACTCAGATGGAAGCTTTTCATTGTTGGTTAAATTACCGGGACCTGTCTCAGGAAGGATCCCTCTCCACTGCTGGAGATAAAGCAGGGAAGGAACTACCCCAAGGACTTGCATTTCAACTCCTGCACAGCTAGGTCATCCCGAGAAAGCTTTGCGGCTTCTCTGAACCTTCAGAAGTTGTTCCAGTGTGGCCAGTGTTGCAGGACCCTTGAGCCAGCTAACAGTTTTGTGAGAGAGGGAGAAAGGCCAGATGGACCAGGGAAGCACAGACAGTCAGCCACAGGTTGGAGACTGTATCTTGCGCTTGGGGTGTGGAGAACTGAGAGGCATTCTTATCCATCCAGGAGGCAAGGAGACTAACAGGGGCCTCCTCTTTCTGGAATGAGATGCTGGTTAGGGAATCCTGACTGTGAAAGCCTCAAAGGATATCTCAAGCGTTAGCCAGGACCACATCACTTTGGAAAGCAAGCAACGCCATTTGGGTTGAGCTGTGACGATTTCAGAAATGGTAGTGGTTTGGTTTGCGCAACTGAAATCATGATTACACCTAGATTCTTTCTCCCCATACCCCCTTAGACTGCTTGAATGCAAGCACACACTTCAGGCTTCTCAGCAGTCACATGACACAGAACCTCCTCTCTTTCCCTGAGACTCATAAGAAGGACTTTCCCGCTCTGCCATGTGGGCCTGATCTCAGAGCCTCTGTGACACTGCTGTCTGCCTGTCCATCTACAACTTTCACAACTCCTTACCTGTCTCAGAGTGCTTCTTGAACCCCAGACCTGGGTCTTTCCTAATGGTAAGGAGGTGGAATTTCTTATCCTATAGATCCGCATAAAGGTAAAGGCAGTGGTGTGTGTGTGTCTGTGTGTGCATGTATGTGTGTGTGTGTGAGAGAGAGATTTTTGTTTTGTTTTATTGGTTAGATGATTTCCTTTTCACTTTCCAGAACATCCAGATGTGTGATTTCACAACTCATTCCTGTCAACTCCAAAGTCAAAATTCCAACTGAGTAAAGAAAAGAGTTTGCATGTTGCCTAGTCTTTTTTTTTTTTTTTAACCAGCTTTATGCCACATTCTGTTTAGTCCTCCTGTTTGAGGTAAGGGCTTACATAAGGGGTTAGATTTTTTTTTTCCCTAATTTTTTTTCATCTGAAAATTAAAACTTTTAAAGAACAGATTTAAGATTGAAGTTTACTTAGAGACGTGGAAAAAATAACCAGAGTAGAAGACTTAAACAAACAAACAAACAAACAAACAAACAAACCCTGACATGATAAATTTAACAAAAAAGTTTTTGTGGTTTTCTTAAAATGTGTTTGATATAGATTTATGTGCATGTGTAAGCTGTGTTATGTCTACAGGTATGCCTATGCTCATACACTGCTTATATAACCAAATTGCCTTGTAGTGGGAGTTCAGCTAAACTGAAACTGTTAAATTAACCTAAATGCCTTTTGTTTGATTAACTTAAATCTTTGATAAATAACTTAGATTTGTTGTTAAAAGGTGAGGCTGCCTTTAGAATTGTTAACATGTGTTCTTCCTGGGCCAACTGGGTTAATAATTTTCTCTTAAATAGTACAATGTCTTTGCTTTCCTCAGACAGATTGCAGCTGGAACTAATTAATATGATTAACTCCCTATAAGATAAAGTTTCCACTCACAGGCCCTTCTCTGAGCCTGCCCTGTCCCGAGACAATATAGCATAACTAATGACGCTGAGCACAGTCCCCGCTCACAATGGCATCTGCAGATTTGTTTAAGTTTCTTAAGTTTTATAAATGGTTCACGTTAAAACTTAGCTGACTTGTAATTGAAATGCACACATCTCTTCCGTTTTGTCCTCCGAGTGTAAGGAGCTGTTTGGCCTCTGATTTAAAGTACCTGTGTGTTCTGCTGTCTGCTGCCTTCCAGGGCTCTGAGTGCTATCATGGGGGGTGGGTGTAGGGTGGGGTGTGTGTGCATAGCCTCATTTTTGGTAACAGCTTCATGGGGCTTGTTCTGATAATTAGTCTGATTATTCTTACGACCCTATGATGAAGCAATCATTTCACATCCCTCCCAGTTCTTCGGGGCAACAAATATCTTTTCTACTTAAAAGTTTATTTATATTATTATGTTTTCATGATATTAAAAAAGTATAACATAATCCAATAAGTAGGATAAAAAGTGTTTAAAAGGTTATAAGTATACTGATACATTTTTTTTAAAGAAATGTTGAAGAAAAGGAATTTTAGCTGGTATATTAGCTTTGTTCTAAGATAGAGGATGATTTTATAGTAAAAAATAAAAACAGAGAAGCAAAGTAAAAAGCCAAAGTATAATCTACCATAAATATTTTGTGAAAGCTAAAGAAGTTTATGGGTATGAATAAGTTGTCTCTAGTTAAAGGTTATTAAAATGGCCAAGATCAAAATCTAAAAATCTGGTTTTATTCATATCAATGATGTTCTCTTAAGATATTGATCTGCTTTTAGTTACACTTACAAAAGAAGGGTTTAATTAAAATAACATTCACCGGAGCGATAAGCAAAGGTTGTAATAAGTTACAAAAATCTGGATCCAGTAGCAATTCACAGCTAGTAGAGAATAATTTTTTTTATTTAAGGTTATGGGATTAGATATTTTAATACCTAAATTGGTATGTACCTTTCTTGTAAAATCATCTGAACGTTTTGTTTCCTTAAGATAACTATTTATGTTTTCTGCTGATAGTTGGCTGCTCACGGGGAAAGGCCGTTGGCTCCAGCAGTGTTGGAGCAACAAAGCAAAGCACAAAGCAATAGCGGTGACAAGGCCAGAGTTCTGTCCCCCACACTGAAATGGTGCTCTGGCCCCTGGCCTCCTGGCTGGGTAATTCCTACTAAAATATCAGGAGTGTCTGATCTAGTCCCTTCTGCTCGAAAGAAATCCACATTATACCCACAATCAGCTTCAGATAAAATTAAAAGAAGATATAAGCTTTTCTGATAGTTACTGAAGTTAACTATTGGGCAATAAATTATAGGCCAATTGCAAAAACTGACTGGGACCCCCATGAAAATGAAAATAATTGCATCTATCCAGGTAACTATGAGCCTGGACACACTGTATTTAGCCCTAGGGGTGTGGGTAAGGAGGAAGTTATAAAGATAAAAGTTGTTGGGAATCTTTTCACAAAAGCTTCTCATTCTTTTAGTACCTATTCCTTCTTCTAATTTCAGACAGATTCACATAGTGGTGAGAGAGAAGTGACTTCCACAACTTGTCTTTTGTTCTCCATACACGTGCTATAGAGCTTTTGAGCATCCAGACCCAGTATATGAGTACACATAAAGTGACTAAAGAAGTGCAATAAAAATAAAGAAAATGCATTGTACAAAATTTTCAAAGCACTACAATGATAAAAAGGAAAATAAAAACAACAAAGTTGTCTTAAATATATTTGCACTGAGTATGAACACAACAAATGATAGTGATATGAGATATCAACCATTACAAACGAGTTCATTTCTTCACGGGCATTCCAGCTTTAAAGTAGATTCCATCCTTAAAACAAACACCATGGAGTCAAAAGAGGATTCCCCAGTTGAAAATGTCTCACAGAATCTACTACTACCGTTTTGGTAAATACACATGTGGTCAAGTTGCCTTCTAAATATTTTCTGATTATACTAGTGGTTTGTGGTACTCTCAGCCTTGCTCAGACAAGGCTTTTGTTGTTGTTGTTTCCCATTTGTGTTGTTTCTGCAGTGGGTAGTGTTTTAATGCATAGTTTTATAACTGGTTAAAGTGCTCAGAATAAGTGGCTGTTGAGTGCTCATTTCTAAATATAATAGGGGGACATCTCTCTATCAATCCCCTACCCTTATTAGGCTCAGGAAACTTCATGCAAGAGCCAGAGGAAGGGGTACGCGGTGTGGTGTGAAATAATGTCTTATGGATATGACATGGCATTTGCGTTCATGAACTCATGGCAGCTGTGGTTACCTGTGCAAGCCTTACATAAGATCTAGCCTGTCAACATTTCAGCACTCATGAAAGTTGGGGTACATGAGGCTTTATCCTTAGCTGAGTAGATATTAGGGTTAATGACTGGTGGGGGAGGGACTGTCTTTTTGTTTTTGTTTTTTTTTTTTAAAGAAATGTAGCCCCTAGAAAGTTTCCTATGATCAGTAAATAGCAACACACCCAGAACATGCAAACAGCTCTGACAGGAGCCCCACAAGGAGACCAACAAAGCTAAAAGATCTGAGCTCAGAGAGTCCTGCAGAGACTGATGCACCAATGGAGGACCATGCATGGAGAGGACCTAGACCCCCTGCTTAGATGTGGGTAATTGGCAGCTCAGTCTCCATATGGATCTCTGAGTGAGGGGAGCAGGAGCTGCCTCTACAGTGAACTCAGTTGACTGCTCTCTGATCACTCGCTCCTGATGATGCAGCCTTGCCAGGCCACGGCGGAGGAGGATCCAGGCAGTCCTGATGAGACTTAGCAAGCTTTGGGCAGATGGCAATAGTGGAGAACTCCCCCTTTCAGTGGAGTAGGGAAAGGGCTTCGGGGGGAGAGAGAGAAAAGGTAGGACTGGGGGAGTTGAGGAAAGAGGCTTCAATTGGGATAGATAATGAATAAATTGTGAAGAAAAAATAAAATTAACAAAAAGACAAGAAAACAGAGAGGCAACCATTTCAAAAAGGAAGAGAGATATATTCCAGAGAGAATAAAGATGGGAAAAGAGAGGAATAATGGGTGAAAATGATCAAAATGCTATGTATGTATATGCATGAAACCGTCATACAACAAATAATAAATATTTTACACACAAATCCCAAATTGTTCCCAAGCAGGTTATAGCAGAAGTTTCCTACAGAGGGTGTGTTTCCCCAAGTCTAACTTCCACTGGAAGCTGAACAGGGAGGAACAAGGCAAGAACATAGTACAAGGAAGCAACAGGGTTGAGGCCCAGTGATTTTTCATATATACTCTAGTGATATTGCACAGCAAAAATTCTGAAAAATTCATTTTTGGCTGATCTAGGGAGTAGAGGAGCTCAAAAATAAACCAAACCAAACCCCCCAAACTGGGAAGGTTTTAAACAAAGCTTAGGTCATTTCTTTTAGTTCTATCTAAAGAACATCTATAAAGAAGTCCTGCCTACCTCCAATCAAAGACCTGTAGCTTCCAAATTGAAGATCCTGGCTTTGAGGATAGAGCTCTGAATGTCTTGTTATCCACTGGCTCCTTAGAAAGAGGTGATGAGAAGTCAGATGGCTGAGTTTCTGGGGAAATCCTGGGTCCAGTGTATTGCAGACAGTGCTCCGGACAGAGGGACAGCCCTCCTTACTTGAGGTCCACCTCTGCTTTTTCAGCAGAAACAAGAACATTGCGCAGGACTTATACTCTTTTGGCTTTTGTCTTGTCATCAGAATGTGCTGACCAATCACAGAGGAAAATGGGCTTTGTTTCATTCCGGAATGCCCTGCATTTACAAGAACAGGAAAGTGAAACTAAACTATTGTTAGTTTCTCTTCAGTGACTCCAGAGTTCCAGGAAGTGGAAACTGTCCTGTCAGAACAAAGCTGCATTAACCTAAGGCTTAGCAAGTGAGAGGAGTTCCAGAAGCAACTTACTAACTAGGTTGAAGGATCTTCCATGACCTCTTAGAGTTAATTTTCTTCTTACCCCAGTGCTGGATGATTTTATGCCAACTTGGCACCAGCCAACCTGCTCAGTCTGTATAATGTTATTCGTGTGTATGTTTTCAGGGATGGCCAGTGGCTAATTGAATAATGAGTTGGGAATTTTTGATTGGGCTTACATAGAATCTGTAAGTCTGTTTTGGTAAAATGGTCATTTTCAAAATATAAATTCCACCAACCCAAGAGGATGGGATATCTTTAAAATTTCTAATGCCTTTTTCTATCTTTTCCTTCGGAGGTTTAATGTTTTCATTGTAGGAGTCCTTTTCTTCCTCAGTTAGCTTTATTCCTAGATATTTTATTTTCTTTGAGGCTATAGTGAATGAGTGTGTGTGTGTGTGTATTCTTTCTTTTTTGTTGTTGGTGTATAGAAAAGCTATTGATTTATGGAAGCTGATTTTGTATTTACCACAAGCTGTATTTGTTTATCACTTCTAGAAGTTTTCTGGCAGAATTTTCGGAGTTACCAGAGGTATGTATATGATATGTGTAGTATCAAGCCATCACCAAACAGGGATAGTCTGACTTCTTTAATTTTCTTACCTTACCTTGTTGCTCCAGCTAGTAATTTAAGCACAATATTGAAAAGGAATGAAGATAGTGGACTTTTCTATCTCATTGCTGACCTCAGTGGGATTTCATCAAGCTCCCCATTTAAGATGGATGATATTGGCTGTGGGTTTCTATATATAGATTTTATTATGTTTAGCTATGTTTTCTATAGCTCTACATTCTCTAGGAGTTTTATCATAAGATCATGTTAAATTTTTTTTAATTAATTTATTTTTTATTCCCTTTACACCCTGGTTGTAGCCCCATCCTTCCTTTCCTCTCAGTCCCTCCCTCCCTCTCTCGACCCTCCATCTTTCCTTATTCCTCAGCAAAGGGGATCTCCCTTTCTATCCCAGTTCATCAAGTTGCATCAGGACTGAGCCTGTCCTCTTCCCCTGTGGCCTGGTAAGGCAGTCCCATCAGGACTGATAAAAAAGCTAGCACGTGAGTCCATGTCTAATGCAGTCTCCTCTTCCCTTACTATAGGACCCACACAAAGCCTAAGCTGCCCTTCTGCTACATCTTTGTAGGGGGCCTACGTCCAGTTCCTGCATGGTCCTTAGTTGATGCTTCAGTCTTAGCAAGCACCTCTGGGGCCTGGTTTGTTGGCTCTGTTGGTCTTCTTGTGGAGCTCCTGTCACCGCCAGGTCCCTTTCTCTTTCCTCCCACTTTTCCACAAGACTCCTTAACGCATCGCCATATGTTTGGCTGTTAAAAAATTTAAAGGCTTTTCCTGAATCTATTGGGATGATCATGTCTTTAAATTCATTTATGTGGTTTATTACATTTATTGACTTATGGATGTTAAACCATCCTTACATTTCAGGTATAAAGCCAACTTGGTCATAGTGGATAATTTTTTGATGTGTGTCTGTGTTTTGTTTGCAAGTATTTTATTGAGCATTTTTGAGTCTGTGTTCATCAGGGGTAATGGCTTGTAATTTTCCTTTCTTTTGTTCCTTTTGATATGAGTGTGATACTGGCTTAATAGAAAAACTTGGGTAATGCTCCTTCATTTCCTTTCCTTCCTTTCATTTCTTCCCTTCCTTCCTTTCCTTTTTTCCCCTTCCTTCCTTCTTTCCTTTTCTCCTTCCTTCCTTCCCTCCCTTCCTGGCAGAGGCCAATTATGCAGGAATGGACTTGAGGCAAGCAAGTGAGCTTCTTGGAGGTGGCCTACCACTGCAATATCTGTGATGAGTGTGCCCTAGTAGGCAAAGACCCTAAGGACATAGTCTCTGAATTGCTTCTTGCTGCTGCTTGCCTTTCCATTCTTGTATTTGCTGTACCTCTAATCTGGCATGTATATATATATATATATATATATATATTATTCTTCATTGCCTATGCTCTCTCTGATGTGATTGCTTTTCTCTGCCAGGCAGATTCTTGCATAATCATTCTGAGGATGATTTTATTATTCTTGATAATGATTCCTAAATTGATTCAAGTAGCTTTTTCAGCCCATCGTGCAGAATAACTAAATCTGCTAGGTATTCTGTGATTGTTCACTTGCCACTGACACAAACTTCACTAGGATAGAGACAGGCCTGAGACAGACTTATTTATGGCTTAAGTATACATTCACTCTAGCTCTGGAGATAATATCAAGGGTCTCTGTGTACAGAAAATAGAGGATTAACTAATCTTGGAATGAAAGACAGAATTATTACCCTAAACTCACTATAAACTAAGAGATAGCTAGAAATGTATAGCCAGGTCAGTCTTAATGGAAAAGACATATATCTTGTTGTAACCTCTTGTACCCCATTAACCTTTAAGTCCTGTCAACCTTTGTCATTCTGAACTTACTATAAACTTATGTAATGGATACATAAATAAGAAATGTTTGGTTTTAATGAAAAGAAAACATGTAACTTATTGTTCTGTTGTATTTTTGAATTCATTTGTTTTTGTGATTGCCTTTTGGACTGACATAAAGAGCTTTGTCCCAGAAGCATAAAAATTATGACCAGATAATAAAAGGGGTTGAAGTTTTTAACTTCATCAATTTTTTTTTCTCTTGAGCTTGTGTGTATACACGAGTGGTCCTTAGTTACTTTTTCTCTTTTTTCCTTTTTCAAACTGATTCACAAATAAGTCAATACACTCATGACCTCAGCCTTCTAAGATAAACAGGCTGAGGTTTACTTTAGCCTGTGAGAGTCCTCCACAGTGACCTGCTCCTGCGCAGGGGCCAATCTCAGATCAACGAGCCTTTTTCACAATACTCTACAGTTTTGTTGTTTGTTAGTTTGTGTGTGTGTGTGTGTGTGTGTGTGTGTGTGTGTGTTTCTAGAAGCCTCTTTTTGCAGCCTGGCATCAGGAAAAGAGTGGTTAGTTTCAATTTTCCTCCCTAGTGGCAACACAGCCAGTTTCAAGTCACTAGAAACATTTCCTCCCCTCTTTTTCCTTCTTTGAATCTTCTGTGGTGATCAGCTGCCTGACCTCTCTGATCTAAGAGGTAAACTGCAAGCTGAATTCTACCTCCTTGGAAGCTGGACTTTGGTACCACCCCTGCTCCCTTATTTCTTATTCTTTTGGAAGGATTGGCTGTAGATCTTTGAAAGGCTGGTAAAATTCAGCTGTGAAGCCATCTGGCCCTGAAATTTTTTAAGCTGGAAGACTTTTTTTTTATTCCTATTTCAGTTTCCTCACTTGTTTTGGGTCTGTTTAGGTTGTTGACTTCTTGGTTTAATTTTGGTGGTTTGGCTGAATCTAGAAACTCATCCATTTATTTTAAGTTTTCCAGATTAATGGAGAACAGGTTTTAAAAAATATTCCCTTGTAATATTCTGAGTTTATTTGGTGCCTGTTTCCCTGTTCATTTCTGGTTTTGCTATTTGAGCCCTCTTTTTCTTTTGATTAGTTAAACCAAGTGTCTGTCAATCTTGTTTATTATCTCAAAGAACCAGCTCTTAGATTTGTTGATCTTTGTATTGTTTTCTTTGTTTCTATTTTATTGATTTATACTCTGATTTTTATTATTTTCTGACACTGACTGGGTTTGAATTTGGTTTGCTTATCCAACTTTTTGAATTATATCATTTAATCATGCTCTTCCTGTTTTTAAAATTACTATTAATTACAGTTTATTCACTTTCTATCCCTTCTGTAGCCCCTCCATTGTCTTCTCCCAGTTCTACCCTCCCTCTCCCTCGTCCCTTAGGTCTCTCCCCTAGTCTACTGATAGGGGAGGTCATCCTCTCCTACTATATGACCCTAGCCTATCAGGTCTCCTCATAACTGTCTGGATACTCTTTCTCTGTAGCCTAGTAAGGCCACCTCAACAAGGGGAGTTGATCAAAGAGCAGGCAACCAACCAAGTTCATGCCTTTAATTGCCTCTGCTCCCCTTACTAGGGAATGCAGTTGGAGACTGAGCTGCCCATGGGCTATATCTAAGCAGGGATCTAGGTCCTCTCTGTGCATGGTCCTTGGTTGATCCATCAGTCTCTGCAGCCCCCTTCCCCCGGGTCCAGAGTTTTGGCCTGTTGCTCTCCTTGTGGAACTCCTGTCCCCTCCAGGTTTTTCTATCTTTCCCTTCTTCCATAAGATTCCCTGCACTCTGCCCAAAGTTTGGCTATGAGACTCAGCATCTGCTTCAATCTTTTGTTGGGTAGATCCTTACAGAGGCCCTCTGTGGAAGGCTCCTGTCCTGCTCCCTGTCTTCTTCCACTTCTGATGTCTATCCTGTTTGCCCTGAACGAGGATTAAGCATCTTCCCTGGGTCCTTCTTGTTGTTTAGCTTCTTTAAGACTATATTGATTTTAGTATGTTTATCCTATATTATATGGCTAATATACACTTATAAGTGAGTATATAGCATGTGTGTCTTTCTGCTTCTGGGTTACCTGACTCAGGATGATCTTTTCTAGTTCTGTCCACTTGCCTGCACATTTGTTTTTAATTGTTGAGTAAATATACCATTGTGTAAATGTACCACAATTTCTATATCCATTCCTCTGTTGAGGGACATCTAAGTTGTTTCCAGATTCTGGCTATTATGAGTAAAGCTGCTATGAACATACTTGAGGAAATGTTCTTGTTGTATGCTCCAAGATCAACAATCAGTAAATGGGACAGTAGCCTGAAACCGAAAGCTTCTGTAAAGCAAAGGACACTGTCAAAAGAACAAAATAACAGCCTACAGACTGGGAAAGGTCTGCACCAACCTTACCTCTGACAGAGGGC